GCTTATATTCTATAAATTATCTCCAAAATCTGTAACTGAAACTATTTTAATTCCTAAATAAAAACTAAAATTTAGCCTCTTTTTTTGCACCTATATGTATTCACCGTTAAATTTCAATGTTAGAGCCTTATAAATATATTGAATAACTTATATACGGCTAATGATTACAGTCTCAAAATAACATAAAGATGTGGTTATGAATTGATGGGACCACGTGGTATTTGTGGCATGAAAAATAGAAAATTGCAACTCCACTTGTACACACATCATTGTTGTTCTATTTTTTTATAAAAAATCCTCCACCTCATATACAATGGATCCACATGTTTTATTAAATTCTTTTTAATTTTTCCTTTTTTATTTTTTAAAAAATTAATTTGAATTAAATAATTATTTAATAATTACTGTTTAAAAAATTAAATTTTTAAAAAATCAATTACCCTGGCACTCCAAGGATAATTTATGATTTTCTTAATTCTTTTCATTTTAAAACTTTTACACAAAATAAATTTAAATGTTCATATCTAGACATTATAGAGACATGAGATGTTTCATTACTCTTATAGGATCAAATGAGTTGGTTGATATTTTTTTTTCCTTGGCCGTTTCCCATTACTTAATTTCACCCTAATCTGTAGGAAGATTTTTCGGTGGATTCAACGTTTTATACTTATTTTTTAAACATGCCATAATAATATATAATAATTTTGTGTGATGGAGTTAACTACATATTAGTTCAGAGTTATGATTTTTTTTTCCTTATTTATTTCATTGTACTTTATGTGACAACTCGATTTAGATTTTTTTTTCATTAAAATTCAAATTATGTGATATTTTCTCTTTTATTTTTAAGCATTTATTACATAGAAGTTAAAAACTCATAATAAACAGAAATATTATTTAAAGTGTATAAAAAATGAAGGAAGCTTAGATACTTCACTTTTCTTATAGGAAGAGTGCAATTCAACCACTTCTTTGGGGAAAACATGCATATCATTGACTTGAGTTTCAATCTGCTACAAGGAGAGATCACTTCTACAAATTGCAATGCCAACTCAATTGTAATTCTCAACTTATCACACAACAACTTCAGTGGCCAAATTCCACACTACATTGGGAGCTCTAGCCTTGCACTTTATGTGTTGGATTTGCAAAGCAATAGCTTTTATGGCACCATACCAAAAACATTTGAGGTGGGAAACATTTTGAGGACCTTAAATCTTAATGACAATCTTCTGCATGGCTTGTTGCCTCAATCTTTGGTCCATTGCAAAAATTTAGTGGTCTTGGATCTTGGTAGAAATGGCATTCATGATACATTTCCTCATAGGGTTCAAGACCTTAAAGAATTGCAAATACTTGTTCTTAGAGAGAATAAGTTACATGGTTTCATCCTTAATTTAAAGAACAAATCCAACTATGCCTTCACAAAGTTGAGAGTTTTTGACATATCCAACAACAAGTTGAGTAGCCCTTTACTTGAAACATACTTCAAATCCTTTCATGCTATGAAAAATCAAGAGGGAGAAATTGGTTTAGAATACATTGGTTATAAACTTATAGTCAATCGAGTAATCACTTTTGAAGATATCACGATTCCATTGAGGTGATCTTGAAAGGACATGACATTCATATGAAAAAGATCTTGACTGTTTTCATATGCATTGATATATCTGATAACATATTTAAGGGAGAGATTTCAATATCTATTGAGCAGCTTAGAGCATTGAAGGGGCTTAATTTTCTCATGATAGGCTCATTGGTGATTCCAAACTCAATAGGAAATTTGAGAAATTTGGAATGGTTGGACTTGTCATCAAACAAGCTTACTAGAAAAATTCCTATAGAATTCATTAATCTCAACTTTCTATCTATCTTGAACCTTTTGTGGAACCAACTTGAAGGTTGCATTCCTAGGGGTCAACAATTTGAGACTTTCATAAGTGATTCCTTTGAAGGAAACAAGCAATTGCATGGTTTTCAACTAATAATTCCTTGCAACCCCAATAGGGAAAGACAACCACCACTTCAAAGTTCAAGTTTTGAAGATAAATTTGAATTTGAATGGAAACCTATCTTGCCAAGGTATGTATGTGGAGCCTTATTGGGATCAAAAATGTTTTGGATTTTGATATTTATAGGTAAAGCCAGAAGGCTTGCAACTTTCTTGGATGATCCACTAAAGAAAAGGAGGAGAAGGGTTAGAAATCATCATTCATAAAATCTATATCTTCGATGTATGTTTCAAATTTTTTCTTCTACGTAAAATTTTCTTTTTTATCCTTTTTCTCCTTCTAGTTAAATGTTCAAGTTCTTGAGTTTTTTGTTAAATATTTGTTAGCAAAGTTGTGAGGAGATCAAAGTCTATTTCTCTTAGCTATAGTAATTATGAATCAAAGTATTTTTCTCTTTGCTATAATAATTGCTTTTTGTTGAGTATCTTTTAGAAAATTATGGGAGACAATACTCAATTTCTTTTAGCTCTGTAACATCCCGAAATTTGATTAAGTTAATATTAATTTAGGATGAATTTGTAGGTTTTCAAACCCTAAAATAATTTGGTAAAGATTCAAGTCAAATTAGGACTAAACTTGGAATTAAACACTGGATTAGATGCCCTTAAGTTATGGACATTAAAAAAAAAGGGAATCAACTATTGAATAAAAAAGGAAGGGAAGGGATTCAATGAAACATAGAACAAGAAAGAAGAGGGTGGTTGTACATCGTTTGACCAAATCAGCACACTTTTTATTGATCAAGACTACCTATATGGTTGAAAAATATGTCCAGATCTACATTAAAGAAATTGTGCAACTACACGAGGTACTAAGGGATATTGTTTCATACCAAGATCCTCGATTTACAATGAATTTGTGATAGGCTATGCAAACGGTTATAGGCATAAATCTGAAATTTAGTACATCCTATCATCTATAGATGCTTGGACGGACTAAGTGGACGATCTAGACATTAAAGGATAGGTTGAGACCATATGCCCTAGAGCTTCAGGAAAGCTGGGATAAGCACTTGCCTCTAGTAGATAATAAAGTAATCATGGGCAAATTTAAGACATAGAAAAATAATTTTAAGGCACTGAAAATAAATTTTGTTAGCAATTATTAAGGATTAAAAATTTTAAAATAAGTAAAATAAGTTAAAAGAGTTCACACAAAATGTAATAAATTATAAGAGTTAGTTCTAAGAAAATAAAATAATAAAATACATATATAACAGAGAGTAGGTGTTGAAAAGAAAACAACAAACAAAACGTATATAAAAAATTATTATACACACACACACACACACATATATATGATACATTATATAAATATATTTATAATATGAATATTATATAACATAATAATAAAAATAAGAAGGGTTTGCATGGGCCCAAGGCCCACTCCCATGCTTATCATCATTATTGTCCCTACAACACACACACACACACACACACACATTTACTTTCAGCAGCAGGGCATAGCGTGAGAGAGGTATGAAGGGGGTTTCAATGCATAGGATCCATTATCAGATATGTTAAAGATTATTTGAAACTTTTTAAGAATGGGTAAGTATTTTAAATATTTCATTCTATTTGTTTATCTCTTCCCTCTCTTCATACTAGGTGCTTTGTCGTGGCCGCATAGGCTTGACGTCTTCATTTCAGTTATTTGTACTAGGAAATCTTATTAATGACCAGCACAAATAACTTTAAATTTGAATTTATTCTTGATTAAATTTGTGCCTTAATATTCTAGATTTACCAATATACACTTTTTCTCATTATGACTAATCTGATCCCTCTTAAGTCCATCCAAGACTCAGATAGTTTCTCTTATATGCGTAGTATCCACACTTATGAATTCACAAATTATTTCATAAGGGACATGTCATGAATACGAGCATAGATGTGTATATTTAAGATAATCTTCCTTTTGCCCATATACCACTTTGATAGGAAACAATCACTTTCCTAACATGAAATCTTTAGGTTGCATCAATCATGACCATAGGGTGCATGTTAAAGTAGCAGACACTGTAACATATCTCCATGATAATGTCAAAGTCAAAGGACATCAATGAAAGGATTTTTTTTCCTTTCTGGGACTCACACATCAATGAAGTAGGGATTTATTCACTTGCTTCCCATTGCGATTCTTAAGCACATGTGGTCTAAAACACATGTTATGGTGTTACTCTTGCTTGTAAGAGTGTACGTCATTTTCATTTATTATTAGCATCATACAAACATAAGTTTAGATATTTATTGTATCTAAACCCAAATTCTTCTTTTCTATTGATCTCACATGACATCAATTTAGAAAAATTTATCGTTTGGCTATAGTTATCATGGATATGGGGATCCATTATTTGATCCAAGTATGCTTACGGATCTCATCTCGACTTGCTCTTTGATCGAGGTGACATACGATTTGTGTTTCTTTTCTACCATATCAACATTTTTTTGTTGCCTTACTAGTGAACACTAATGTCTCATCTTTGATTTCAATATCAAAGGTAGTTGCTCGTGTGAGAGAGTGAACCTTATCAACCTGTATGACATACTAAACATTGTATGTTCTCAATTGTACACATATGGAAGTAATGAAAAATCTCATTAATATAACTAATATATTACATCAAGTCAATCTAGCCATGCTAAGAGCCCTTGCATGTTTCTCAAATATCTCCTTGGCTATGGGTTTTGTTAGGGGATATGCTATCATACATTTTGTGGAAATGTATTGAACAGTGATAACCTTTTGCGCTATATAATCCCTTACAAAATTGTACTTAATGTCCATGTGTTTGGTTTTGCTATGATATTTAGGATCTTTGGTATAGGCTATGGTTGTAGTATTGTCACAATGAATTAATACTGGATTTGTACTTTCATTTCCAAACCTAAGATGTTTTATAAATCTCTTAAGCCATATAGCCTCTTGCACTGCTGCAGTACATACTACAAACTCAGCTTTCATAGAGTGTAAGGCAATGCATGTCTACTTCTTGCTGCTCCAACAAATGGCCCTATTGTTTAGCAAGAAAGTGTAGCCTGAAGTTGATCTTCGTTCATCTTCATCTCCGCCTAAATCCACATCAGAGTATCCTATCAGGCGTAGATCACTCCCTTGATAACACAGTGCATAGTCAACAATACCATTTAAGTATCTTAAGATCCTCTTTACAGCTTTCCAATGTCCTTCTCTAAGGTTAGATTGGTAGCAACTCACAAGTCCTACAGCATAACAGATATCTGGTCTTGTACACATCATTGCATATATCAAACTTCCGACTACACTGGCATATGGAACTCTTTCCATTTTTCTTTTAGCTATCTCAGTTTTAGGACCCATATCAAGACTAAGCTTCACACCTGAAGCTACTAGGGTATCCATAGGTTTACAATCTTTCATATTAAAATGCTCAAGAATTTTCCTTATATAATTCTCTTGTGATAGATCAAGAAGCTTCTTAGAGTGATTTCTTTGGATTTTAACTCCAAGAATATATTCTACTTCACCCATGTCTTTCATTTCAAAATTCGATGAAAGCCATTCTTTAATAGCGATTATCGAATTCAGACTATTTTTGGCTAGTAAAATATCATCCACATAAAGAGATAATATTACAAAGTTCCCATTGAACCTCTTAATGTAAACACAGTGGTCTTTCTCAATTATTTAGAAGTCATATGAGGTTATTGCTCTGTGAAACCTCAAATACCATTGTCTGGATGATTGTTTTAGTCCATAAATTAATCTATTTAATTTACATACTTTATTTTCTTTTCCTTTTTCAATAAAACCTAATGGCTATTTCATATAAATTTCTTCATCCAGATCACCGTTAAGAAAAGCAGTCTTTACATCCATCTGGTGCAACTCTAAGTCCAGACTATTTACTATTGCCATAATCAGTTTAATAGAATTGAAGCGTACAACAGGAGAAAATGTATCCTCATAATCTATTCCCTCTTGTTGTATATACCCTTTTACTACTAAGCAAGCCTTGTATTTATCAATTGATCCATCCACTTTTCTTTTGATTTTGAGAACCCATTTGTTCCCAATAGCCTTTTGGCCACGTGGTAAATCAACTAATTTTCATACTTTGTTAGTCCTTATGGAATTCATTTCTTCATCCATTGCTTTCTTCCACTTATCCTTAGCAGGTCTTGATAAAGCTTCATTTACAGAACATGGCTCATCATTATCTAGAGGAGTTACCACCAATGCTTTACCCTCAATTTGAAAGCATCTTTTTTGCACACTTTCTCTATTACTTTTTCGAAGTGGGGTCTCTTGTGGATTTTGATTCTTTCTAGGTCTTCTGAAAAACCTTTTAGAGCTCCCACTTAAATCATCATTTTGCAATTATTTAGGCCTTTCTATGAGTTCTATATTATGTTGCTCTTGTGTCTTGTAAAGAGATATAGTTCGATCAATTTCTTCCCTGCTAGGAAACTCATTTTCTAAAAATGTGATACTCCTAAATTCAAATTCAGTTACAATTCCATCATCATTTTCACCAATGAAAACATAATCCTTTGATTGCTTAAAGTATCTTATAAAGATACACTTTTTTCCTCTTGGACCTAATTTTCCATATTTATGGGAATCATCATGGGCATATGCAGCTGACCCCCATGGTCTTAAGATATTTAAATCCGGTTTGCGTTTTGTCCATAACTCATAGGGTGTGGAAGTAACTGATTTTGAGGGCACACGATTAAGTATGAAGGCTGCAGTCAGTAAAGCATCCCCCAATACTAGATTGGAAGATTTACTTGTGCCATCATTGACCTAACCATGTCTAAAAGAGTCCTATTTCTTTTTTCAGCAACTCCATTCTTTTATGGAGTGCCAGGAATAGTTAGTTGTCTAATTATTCCTTTTTCTTCACAGAGTTCTTAAATTGATCAGACAAGTATTCACGTCCTTAGTCAGTTCGTAATGCTTTAATTTTATTGTCTATTTGATTTTCAACCTCATTAATATATCGTCTAAAGCACTTAGGAGCTTCAGACTTTTGTGATATCAAATAGACATGACCAAAACATGAAAAATCATCAATAAAGGTAATAAAATACTAAGCTCCGTGTTTTGTCCTTATACTCATAGGACCACATATATTAGAATGGATTAATTGTAATGGATTTTCAGCCCTAACACCTTTACTAAAAGGTTTTCTCGTTGCTTTACCAGTTAGACAATTTTCATATAAGGACATATCCATATTTGTAATTGGTCCTAGCATTCATTCTTTAGCTAGTTTAATCATTCTATTTTGATTAATATGCCCCAGTCTAGCATGCCAAATATTCATATCTACATTATTGGAAGAGGTGGTAAAGCAATCATGAAAATGAACTTGGTCAACAATATCCATTATAAAGAACCTTTTTGAAAGAAAAGCACAACTATAAAAAGTTGAATTGTACATAATGACAACAATCTCGTCATAAAAATTAATTACAAACCCAAATTCTAAAAGGCAAGCAATTGAAATTAAGTTCCGTCGGATGCCCGGTGCATGTAAAACATCATGGAGAATTAAGGTTTTTCCACCTCGCAAGATCAACTTGCAAGTTCCTTTTCCTTTTACCTCGATCCTCGCATTGTTGCCAATGTAAAGCCACTTGCTTTGATTCGACAATCGACGGTACTCTATGAAGGATCCACGATCCTTGCTTATGTGGTCTGTGGAGCCTGAGTCTACAATTCAAGAAGTGGAAATAGTTTCCGTTAGAAAAACATTACTGGAAACATAAGAAAAATGTGAATTCACATAATTCACAAGTACCTGATCACGTCCACTTTACTCAGGACAGTCCTTTGCAAAATGCCCCATCTTTTAACAGGCGAAACATTTGACCTTTTTAAGGTTAATTTTCTTTTGCCGCTCTTCTTGCCCTTTTTCTTGAAAGGTTGTTTGTCCTTCTTTACTCTAGGGCCACTCTTATTACCCTTCTTATGTTGTTTCTTGCCTCTTTTGAGCTTAGAATTTGAAGGACCACCTTCCTTGATAAGGTAAGTCTGTCCAGATGATTTGTAAGCCTCCAGACATTCAACCTCTAGCTCCAGGTGTTTATCCACATCGTTAAAGTTAACGATATTTTCATTGTGGGTTAAGTTAACTTTCATATGCTCCCAGCTGTGTGGAAGTGATCTGATTACAGCCTGTACTTATTGTTCATCAGAAAGATTGTGCCCAGCTTCTTTAAGTTCACAAATCATGTTGGCCATCTCTCTAAGGTACTGCCGCATGGGAGTATTCGGCTTTAATTTATATGTGTCGACTTTAATTATAAGCCTTCTCAGTTTGGTAGTTGAGGTACCACTAAATTTTTCTTTTAAGGCAGCCCACATGGCTTGGGCAGTGGAGTGCTTCTCAAATTCGCACATCAGATCGTCCGCCATAGCACTTAAAAGTGTTATTTGAGTGATGCTATTTTTTTCGTTTCCATGCCTCAAATGCCTCTTGGTCTCTCCTATACTGAGTCGAGTTTCCTGCCTCAGGTTCGGCCATGACTTTAGTCAATGGCTCAACAGTATCTTGTTCTTCCAAAATATATGACACCTTACGATGCAATCTTACGATGCCAGATATCCCAGTTATCTCCGTTTAATTTGTTGCCCTTATTCAATTCAGTGATAATGCATTTTATTGCCATTCTTGGTTCTGAGACGAAACTATCCCACATTAATAGTTTTCTATATTAAACCAAGAATAAAATACTTATGAGAAATATACAATGTCTTATATTTGTATTATTCTTTATTAGAGTGATAACAACTTTATTAGGTCAACGATCAAGAGGCTACATTTGTATCTCCCATCACATTGATTCTAATAAAATCACTATCATCTATAAAGAATTTTACAAATATTTTAATCGTTACATATGGTCATAAATGATTTATCACTTTAGAGCTTCCACTCAGATAAAGTATATATAAAGAAATTAAATATAAAATAACATGCTTCATATATTTCATAAATTATCAAGGTCTTAATATAGCATAAAAACAAATTCTTGGAAGAACAAAATAATGCTTAAGGTACAGACCTAAAAAGATAACTCTTAATTATGTTTTTTATATTTTCTTGTACTTTCATCCCCTTGATGGCTCTATTCTATAGAGGATTTCCAGAGTACAACTTGTTTTGCTTGTTATGTTGCACAAGCTCCTTCCTAAGTTGTTTGAAAATTTCTCCTACAACCACAGCTTGTTCTTCTTTCATTATGAAGCTTGAATATGCTCTGACTATTGGAGAAATTTGATCCAGTTTTTTTATTCTTTTAGCTTCTCTTTTTGCTATATTTATGATCACTGAGGGTGTGAAAGGTTGTTCGACATCTTCATTTTCATTTTGAATATTCTCATCACCCTCTGATTCATGTTTTGGTCCTGATAGCATGCGCACCTCTTTAGGTCCTTCCGGCACATTTTCAAGATCAATATTAGGATCTTCTTCAGGGTCAGAATTAGAATCCTCACTTTGAGGTTCATATTCCTCCTCCTCCTCTTCAAAGGGTTTTGGGTCGGAATCTTCACTAAGAGACTCATAATCTAGTTCATCCAGATACTCAATACTGACAGAATAATTTTCTGAGTTATCAGTGCTGCTAGAAGCCTCTTACTTCATATTTTCCTTGAGAAAAAAATAATAAAATAAAAAAATTTAGAAATATTATTATAATTATTTAAAAAAAACTCATAAAAAAAAGCACTAGATAACACAAAAAATAAATTCTAAGTATCTCAAAAAAAATATGCAAATTATATATCAAAATGAAGATCTCGAATTGAGGAATTTGTTAAGACAAATTTGGTCCCAATCTGATCTAACATGCACCAACACATGCCCCAAAAAGGTGCTGGATCAAAAAAAAATTTGTTAATTTAAAATGCCACTCTCGAGGAGGTGCATTGCTGTATACGTGCCACCTTATCTATCTCAGTCGATGTGACACGCCACACCATCATTCCCCATGCACCACTAGCTTCATGGTAGGGTCATCCACGTGCCGATCGAGGTACCCGATGGGTCCCACGCGCCACGTGTCCTCTTAATATTTTTTTAATTAAATAAATTAAAAATAAATATATACAATTTTTTTTTGTTTGGGGCTTCTAGGCTTGTAGCCCAGAAACCTTTTTTTTTATTTAGGCTTCTAGGCTCATAGCCTAGAAACCTTTTTTTATTTTATTTTTGACGACATGTCAAAACAATGTGTCGTTTTGACGAGGACAAAAACAACGTGTCATTTCTATCACCATCTTCCCCCAGTCAGGTCAACTTGATCCGGTTCCTCTAGCGGGTCGAGTCCATTGGACCCGAAAACTTTTGAAGGCCATATCTCCTCCATCTGGTCTTCGTTTTACGCATT